GCCATGTGATGTGCCTGCTACCCCTTTGCCTTCCACCATGGTTGTAAGCTTCCTGAGGCCTCCTTAGAAGCTGACTAGATAGATGCCAGCACTGTGCTTCCTATAAAGCCTGCAGAACGATGAGCCATTTAAAGTTCTTTTCTTTATAAATTACCCAATCTCAGGTATTTCTTTATAGTGCTGCAAGAATGGGCTAACACATCCCCGTAGCAGACGATTGAGAAAACCATATTGCTTATAAAAGAGCCACATCACAACTTACCAGGAGAATGCTGAGTCTCAGAGACATTTGGTGACTTGTCCAAGGACTCAGGCCACTGGTCCTCCTTTTCCCCCTGCCCCAACTTAACATCTAATGAAGAAAATTATGCCAATAGAGGGGACCTCTGCCATATAATCAGTAGAGGCCCATTAGACTCCATTCCTTTGTTTTTTTTTTTTTTTTGAGACAGGGTCTCGCTATGTTGCTCAGGCTGGAGTGCAGTGACACGATCATGGCTCACTGCAGCTTCAACAACCTGGGCTCAAGCAAACCTCTAACCTCAGCTTCCTGAGCAGCTGGGACCACAGGTGCATGCCATCGCATCTAATTTTTGTGTTTTTTTGTAGATACAGGACTTCATCATGTTGCCCAGGCTGGTCTCAAACTCCTGAGCTCAAGCAATCTGCCCACCTATGCCTCACAAAGTTCTGGGACTAGAGGTGTGAGCCACCGTGCCTGGCCTAGACTCCATTTCTTACTCTGATCCCAGCATAAAGACAAAACAAGTCCCACTGAGGGCGGGGAGAGGACGCATGGAAGGGAGGAGAAAGAATGAATTGTGGAGAAGATTAAGACTTTTTAGTTTAGGAGGCAACTTTCAAAAGTTACTTGGAGAAGGAATTCGGTTCAAAAAAGAAAGAACTTTCTAATACCAAGGTTGCAAGTGGCTGTGCCAGGAGACAGCCACAGCGGAGAAGCCAAGCTCTTATCAATTCTTTCTTTCACTTAAGGTAGTCTTTCTTTCCTGCTGGCTTCCTCCAAATGTGTACAGATTCTTGACTGCATGCTCATGTTTTTGGACAGAATTCTCTTGTACACCATGGTACAGGCTACTACTCAGGTGCTTCAAAACCTGGATTCCTAAATCATCTTCAGACAGCTGGTACATGCAAGTTAGCCTCCTAGTTCTCCTAGTCGCCCTCCAATAAGAACACATCTTTGAGCTTCTGGGTGGGGTAAAAAAGAGCTGAACTAGATGAGGAGATTGAATGGGAATCCAGATTAAATCCTGGAGGAAATGCTTGCACCTGTTACTGGGATGTGATTTACTCTTGGCCAACAGCAGGTGTCCAAGGCCCTCCTGTTGAGCTTAGAGTCTGGCCACTCAAGGTTCATCCGCCACTATGCAGATCAGAGGCCCATCAGGCCACCTGGGTGCTTGTTAACAAGACAGACCTCTCAGCCCACATCCTAGTGTGATTCTTTAATCTTTAGCTGATTTTGATAGTAGAATCCATGGGCTACATTTTGCCAAACACTGACCAGGGGTGTCTCAGAGAGTGTGTCCCCGGGAAATATGGGCAATGGGATAGGTAGAGATGTTCTTGGTCAGGATGCAGGGGTGGATTCAAGAGGTACCACAAGTTTTTTCCCATTGGACATTTTGGAGAGGGAAGGAGGGCAACCTAGGAGTCCAGAGAATGAAATAATAGACTCTAGACATTTAGAGTCTCAGAAATAGATGGTCTGCTTAATAATTAAATAAAGAAATCTTAAAATAATAGAATGCATTTGTAGTAGAACTTTGTGGTTAAAGAATCAGTCTTGCATAGAGTCTGCCTTTTTACTTGGTAGCTGGATAACTGACATTGAGTTATTTAACCTCTCTGAGCCTGTTTCCTCATTCATTAGTGGGGCATACTGTTAGGTGTGATATAGTATATCTTCTGACTATTGTAACATATGAGTCAGCACATTTAAAAGACCTAGTGCAAGAGACTAAATGTGTGTGTCCTCCCAAAGTGTATATGTTGAAATCTAATCTGCAGTGTGATGGTATCTGGAGCTGAGGACTTTGGGAGATAATTAGGTCATGAACTTGAAGCCTTCCCGAATGGGATTAGTGACCTTATAAAAGAGACTTCAGAGGGTTCTCTTGCCCCTTCCATGACGTGATGATGCAGTACGGTGCTATCTATGACCCAGGAAGCAGACCCTCACCAGATGCGGAACCTGCTGGCACCTTGGACTTCTCAGCCTCCAGAAATGTAAGCAACACTTTTCTGTTTTTTTATGAGTCACCCAGTTTATGGTACTCTGTAAAATAGCAGTCCAAACAGACTAAGACACATGACATTGAGTCTGGCACATGGTAAAGGCTCTAGAAGTTCTTATTGTCATTAACAGGATCATAGAATCTTAAAACTAGAAGTGACCACAGAGATCATCTAGTGAATCCAATGTCCATCTAGCGACACTAGCAGGAAATAAATAAATAAAGGCAGGCACTGGGTGTGCTGGGGGTTGGGGGGGCTCCCTTGGGTGGCTTCTCGTCTTTTCCAGAGAGCCTAGCCTCTGGTTGCTGCCCAGCTGAGGGAAGGGCCACTTTAGCCATAGAAGGAGTTTGGAGGTCCAGTTTGTATACATCCTACAAACCTGAGAACCTCAACTTTCTGCATTTACCAACATTTACTTTGCAGAGGTCACAGTCCAGCTGTCTGTGGGCACCAGCAGTCTCAGCCGAAGAGAGCAGGGCTGCAGCCTCCCTCTCCTTGCTCTGGCGTTTAATCAAGACAGTATTCAAAATATGATTCTGGGAGATTATATTGGGAGATTTGCAGGAGGCTCTCAGGGGGGCAGAGATGGTGGGAACAGATTGCCACTGGGGGCTTGAGGCTGGGATAATCACAGGCTCAGACGTGCCATTCTCAGGCCCTTCTCCTGGACCCCGGGAGCTCACCATCAGCTCTGGAGGAGACACTGAGCAGCAGGATGGAGAGCTAGATCATCCCTGTATTTTACAGTGGCACAACTTGGAGGGGAAGGGGCTTGTCCAAGCCACAAAACAAGGCGGTAACACAATTGAGAAGGTAAAGCAGGTTTCTGGGATCCCAGACTGCCCTTCAGTCCCTCTCACACCCCACTGTCTCCAGCCAACTAGGACCAGATCTTTGAGATAAGCTTAGGCTGCAGGCTCCTGCTTTGGGCTGGGGAAGGCAGGGAGAGGCTAGGCCACCTAGGCAAGAGATGTTTCTTGCAGCTGGAGAGACAACCTCCTGGGGCCCTGGGTGGTGAAGTAGGGCAACTCGGGAAGGCCTCCTTTCCCAAGATTGAAGCTGAACTGCTGGAGGCGGTGTGCGGGTGAGATTCCCCCTAACCCCGACCCTCTGGGTCCTAGACCCTGCTCAGCCACATGAACTGAGTTTAGTGGGGTCCCTTCTCCAATCTGGTCTTCAGCTTCCCATCTCCAAGTGTTGACTCTCTGATTCTAAGGATCACTCTCCCCTCCACGAAATGGCTCTCTAGGGCCCTACTCTCAACTGGAAGCCCTAGGACGCCTCTGCCGCCTCTGCAGTCTCCGGAGGGGTCTACCTGGCCCCCCAGTAGGGGGTGGGGTCGAGAGTGCCTTGAAAGAAACCTCCAGCTAATGCTCTTTATTACAAGCTTTAATCCCGCAAAGCCGACTGGAAATAATGTTTATCTTTTCGCAGTTTAATTTTCCGGACCCTAAGCCGCGGGTCAGCGAGGGCGACTGAAGGTCCCTGGGGAGGTTGGGGGTGGGAGCAGCTGTTGCCCAGGAACAAAACGAAAGCAAAGAGGGGTCTCCCATAGGAAGCGCGGGCGGGTGTTTCGGCGGGCGAGCGAGAACCGAAAAGGGACTTTGACCCGGGCGGAAAGCTGGAGTTGGTCTCCACCACGGACCGCTGTGACCCTGAGCTGGTCACCCGCTCTCCCGTTTGGGCTTAACCTTCTCATCTGATGAGGAGGTTTGCAGTTTTTGTAACTCATGATCTCTAAAGTCCCTTCCGACAGCAAAGCGGTCTCTCCCATAGAGAAGAAGGGCTAGGAGTTGGCGCGCTGCTTCGACTTCCCTAGCATTTCCAACCTCCACATTTCCCCTCATCGTCCTCCAAAGGTCTTCAATTCTCCTGCCCAGGAGAAGGACTCTGCTCGCATGGATTTCAGTGACTTATAACCTGGCATCCGCGCTGGTCTGGAAGGCCTGGCCTGGCCGGACCCGGCGCTGGAGACGCAGCTCCCCAGGGATCCAGGCCTTGGGCGCACACCCCACTGCCTTTCCTCCTGCCTTCCCGCCCCATCTGCTCTTCGGAGCTCCCCTCTAGGGCACTGTCCCGGGTCCCTGCTTCCCTGCTAGCAGCGGTGCGCTCATTCCCTGGCTAAAGCCAAAGCCACTAGACCCGGGACGCTAACGCAGGCAGCCTCCCAGAGTCAGCATTGCGCGGGCGTCTTTACATCTCTTACCCCCAACCCCGCCGCTCGACACTCCTAGCAAGGGGGACAAAGACCCCTTCCCTGCCCGTCAGTTCCCATTGGTTGGCCTGTACCGGAAGTGTTTGCTGACACTTTTGATAAAACGGGAAGAATGCCCCCTCTCGCCTCACACCGACCCTGAAAGCTGCCTGACCTCGCCATTAGGTTCAGTTCGATCGGAGGAGCGCGGTCCTCATCACCCCTCCCCCCAGCAAACTTACAACCCAAGGACGAACCCGGAAACAGATGCAGTTTCCAGATAAACATCCTGACAAGTCCCACCACTTCCCATGCGCATGACCCGCGAGGCGGTCAGCTCGGCTCCACGGATTGGTCACGCAGCGGTTAGTCCGCTGAGCTGCAGTCGCCACGACCTTATCGGTTACCTTGTCAGTTTCTTTCCCAGCTACTAAAGGAACTGAGGTATGCAGCCCACGCCGCGCTGTCGCAAGAACCCCTGGCCGCAATGCATGTTTGCCTGCACCCCGATCTCTCCAAGCACCCCTGGCAAAGATAGGCCACACAGCATGGGTTTGGACTGATTATTTTTAAGGACACAAGGGGTTGGGAGGGGGAGAAGACGCACAGGGTCCTTGGTAGCCGGGTCTGCGATGAAGTTACAAAGTGAGGGGGCGTGGTGGAGGTGAGAGACAGGGGTGAGCAGGAGAGGAAGCCTTGTTGAATCCAGAGGAGGAAGAGACTTGGTAGAGTCGTTGGGTGGGGCAGACTCGCCCAGCCTCCCACTCGGCCTTCCCCAAGGTGCCCTGCCATCTCCTCCGTGGGGTCGGCTAAGGTACAATTCTGCCCACCAACCCAGCTCTGCGTGCAAGGACAGCTGCTAGGAGGGTTTCTGTGTGTCTGTCTCTTAGGCAAAATGAGAGCTCCTGGTCCCTGGCAAGGTCTGGCAGCTTCTTAACCTGGAGATGAATTCGAAACGTGGGGCCCATTTCCAAGATTCTTTCGCAAATCGCAGCCGTTGCGCTAACCTGCTGAGAGAGGAAAGGTTGATTAAAACCCAAAGGCCGCTTAGTGGCAACTCTTAGGAAACCTCTGGGTCAGCCATGTCTCTTCTGAAGGCAAGCAAAGGGTCTAGAGGCAATTAGCTTGCCAGAGGTAATGTTTGGATCCGTTGTGTAAATTCAAATAACAGTGTAACCCACTTTTCTAAGCCAGCAGCTAATCCTGAGAGAAATTACTACAAAGAGCAGAATCTGACAGTAATTGCTGGAGGCTGCCTCATGCTTGGGGAATGTCCCTTTGTGGGGTGAAATTCCCTTCCACCAGGTCCTTAACACAGTGAAAAAACCAGCCAGCATAAGGGGACACTGATTGGCAGTCACTGGCCTGCCTGGGGATGAGCCCTTGGTAGAGTGCTCTCCAGGGACAACACCAATCTAGGGCCTGAAGCTGTTGACCGCAAGGGGCAACTTCCCAGGGGTTTTGGTGGGACACAGAGAGAGCTGCAAGCTGGACTTAAGCACTGAGGTTAAATCTATGGTGTGCGTCTGGCCCACAATCTTAGACTTCTCCAAAAGCCCTGGTGCTTGCTCAACCCTAGTAAACTCTCTGAGCAGCACAGCAGGGGACCAGCCAGTCTCCTCTGAAGGGCAGGCAGGGGACAAGGGTGATTGTGCTAGAGGGGCATGGTGATGCACACCTGCTGAATTTGGCAGTACACTGGACCACGAATGCAGAGATCATGGTTGTCCATCTCTCGAACGGATTTCTAAGTGATTCTAGGTAAATTACAGTCTCCCTGTGAGTTTATTATTATTTGGCTTTAAAGTAAGGGAGTACTAGAACTTATCTCTACGCTTCCGTCCGAAAGAGTGCTGTGAAGCAATGTCCCGTCAGGTCTGTGGCAGACCTGGGCAGACGGGAATGGCAGAGGGTGTGCAATTGCCCGGCAGGGCGGTGGGTGGGTGTCTTTTGCATAGATACTCCCAGCGCCGTTGGGGGCCCACTACCTTCTGCTCCAGACGGGTACTGGCACTGCACTACAGGCTCGCTCCTCCGCGGGCACGGCGCACAGTTCAGCGGTAGTCCCTGCAGGGCAAACCTGGGGTTTCCAAAGGCTTTGGCTATGCAGGAAGACTCGTCGCACGCGGAGTCTCTGGGGACTGAGAGTCGCCGGGCAGAGGCAGGAGGCTGTCCGGGAATCATATGGCACTCAGGACTTCGTGGCCTAGGCCGGGTTGGGGGTGCACCTTCGACAGCGCTGGCTGTCGCGGTGTGAGCCAGAGACCAGATGCGCGGTTTCTCCACGCATGGGTAGTGCATGGTCAACCTAGGGCCGCCTGTCTCCGCCGCGAGGAAGTCAGCTTCTTCCGATCCGGAAGGCTCACTGAAGCAGAAGCGGGGCGCGGCCAGGCCGCACTCCCTGCGCTCCAATCGGCCCTCTCGAGCTGCAGCGCAGGGCCCAGGCAGCGACTGCACGCCCTTTCGGAACTCCGTCAGCCTGTCTGCAGCTGTGGCCACTACCTCCTCGTCTTCAGCTTCCTCCTCCTCCTCCTCCTCTTCCTCCAGGTCTTCTAGGTCACTCAGCCGGAGCCCCCGGGCCTCCTGGCTAGCAGTAACTTCTGCAGGAAATCAAGACCGAGTGAGAAAAGCCCCAGGGCCCAAGGGAAATCGGAGGAATGCCCATCCCTGAGAAGCTTTTAGCAAGAAGCGCCCTACATTCAGGGCATCCGCGGTGTCATTCACCAGACCTGCCGTACCACCCCTTGCATTTGCCCCAGGGTTGTTGGCCGCCTGTCCCTGGGAAAGAATTCCTGCCCCAGCCCTGCCCCCACCCTTTAGCGGACTCCTCCTCTCGCGAGCCATGCCAAGCCAAGGAAATGCCACATGGTGCTGCCTGAGTTCTGGATCTCAGTTTCTCAATTGTGAAAAACCAGGGGGCAGTTTTTCCTCCATTTCAATATTTACAAGTGACTGCTGTTATATCATTTAATTCAGCAAATATTTACTGAGCGCCAACTATCTGGCGGCCATCATTTAGGTATTAGGTGTGTAGGGCATATGGCAGTGAGTGAGGCTTCTGCTGGAGCTGGCATTCTAGAGAGGGTAGTTGGCTATGTAAACTTTCTCACAGTGACAAGTATGGCAAAGGAAATCCAAACAGGCTGGCAGAACAGAAAATAACTGGGAAGCTATTTTGGCTTGGATGAGTCAGGAAGAACTTTAGGAGGTAACATTTTGATGTCAAGAAGAAGCCGGTTGTGTAGAGATTTACAGGTAGAAAGCAGTGCCCAGGCTAATGCTCTGAGACACGCAGGGAGGTGCAAGGGTAAGTCTGAGGACCTTCCAGAAAATCTACCCTACAGGGCAGCTTTTGAAAGACCAAACTGCTTGAGGGCTTGTAAAACCCTTAAGGTGGAGTGGTGAATGTTTTCAGTACCTTTGGTGTCAGCGTTTAGGCAGCCTAGCGAGTCCTCCTCTCCTCCCTCTGCCTTCCTCTCCTCCCCACCTTTGTTCTTGGGTGCCCACGTCATTTTGTTCTCTTTCTTGAGGCGCCGGCGTGCGTTGGCAAACCAGGTGGACACCTGGGTGAGGGTCATCTTGGTGATGATGGCCAGCATGATCTTCTCACCCTTAGTGGGGTAGGGGTTTTTGCGGTGCTCATTAAGCCAGGCCTTGAGCGTGCTGGTGGTCTCCCGGGTGGCATTCTTTCGGCGACCAGCACCACTCAATTCCACTGCGCCATACCTGTGGGGGAGAACCTGGCTCACATTCTAGAAGGGGAACAAGGAACTGCAGGCAGAGGGCAGTCTGTGGCCTGGAAGTGTGGTTCAGCTCCCTCCTTCTCCCCTGCCCCCATCCACCCTACCTTGGCAGTAGGGGAGGAAAGCCTCCCAGTGCCAGTCACCAAGGCCCTTCACTCCTTACCGTTCATATTGGTACTGCCCCAGAGTCCGCTCATAGGGATAATAGGCTCCTGGTTGTGCCAGGCTGGGTGTAAAACTCCCTGCAGCCTCCTTAAATTCATACTGTGGATTCTGGAGGGAGAGGAAAAGAGAATTCAGGACTACAGTTGGGGAGGGGGCACATGGGGTGGTAGCTAAGGGTCTGGTTCAAATCCCAGTATGGCCACTGGTACTGGTGGTGTGATCTTGGGCACAGTTGCTTAACCACTCTGTGCCTCAATTTCTTCCTTGGTAAAATGGGGATAATAGTACTGATAGGTTGTTGAAGAAGACCATGCTAGCAGAATGCTTGGCAGAATCCCTGGTGCAGAATAAGCAGTAGTTAAATATTAGCTGCTGTTATTACTGTATCACTTACCCCTCCCCCTCCTCTCCACACACAACACACACCAGCTGGGGCATTTCCTGCTTTACTCTTCTTCAGGAGCTTTTCTCTGACCCTTTGTATCCCTGTGACATTGGGTAAAGTATTTGAACCCCTGTGCACCTCTATTTCCTCATTCATAAATTGAGATTAATGATTACTTGCCTACCTCACAGAATTAATAGAAGTATAAGTGTTTTCTAAACAGTATGAAGTTCAAGTTCTGCAAACTGTAATGTACTGTATTTTTTTGTCCTCCTTATACACAGTCCTAACCATTTCCTTTCCTCAGGAGGTGTGGGTCTTTCCTTGACTTTCTCTGGATTTCACCTGTCTCTACTGCTCACGCCCCGGGGACTCCACCCCTGTACTCACCAGTGCCCCATACAGTGCGGGGGGCTCCGGGCTATAGGGCAGGTAGCCAGGGTAGCTCTGGGCAGCTGCAGCGGCCGTGTAGGGGGCTCCATAGATGCCCAAGGTGGTGCCCAGCTCTGGTCGTGCACTGCCCAGCAGTCGACTATCGTAGGGTGCACAGCAGAGAGCGGGCGCTGGGGTGGAGCCTGATGCTACATCTGAGACTGAGCGTGGGGTAGATTCGCAGCATGTGGTGCTGGAACTTGCCGACACCAGAAACTATAGGGGCAAGAAAGAGGGCACTGGAGGTCAGAGACTCCTGCCTCCGGCTGGCGGGAGCTAGAAGCAAAGAGGGTGAAATCAGATTGCTCCTTCATTCATTCCTTCATTATGCATTAACTAAATGCCACCCGGGCTGAGCATTCTGTTAGGTGCTGGGACAGGAATTATAAAAGGCATTTTAACCAAAATACCCTTATAGATGCGCCTATGCCACTGCTAAGGCCCCAGAGCCCCAGGAGGCCCGGAAAATGTGAATATTCTGAAACTGGAATTAAAGACACCAAACCCTCAGCCCCCTTCCCTACCCTCCTCACAGGATCCTGCAAAGGCGGAGCTAGAAGGTGGCCTTAGAGACCATTATTAACGTCTCATTCCTGCTCCCCATTTTATAGATTGGGAGTGGAGGATCAGAGAGTGTGAGACTTGTCTAAGATCACACAGCAGGTCGAAGGTCGGGCCGGCACTAGACAACAGGAAAATACACTCAGAACTCTAGAGAAAAGCTGCAGAACAGTGGAGGGGGTGTCCGCAGAACTTTTCCAGGAAACCCTTGTCAATGCATAACATCCACTTTGGTTTGGAAAATCGAGGGAGCCGGACAGCTTAGGCCCGCCCAAGGAAGGGGTAGGAGAAGAGTCCAGGTCAACAAATGAACAATAATATGGCGAGATGGACAGCGTCGTAGCCTACAAGTCCTTCCTTCTTTCTTTCCTTCCTTCCTTCTTTCCTTCCTTCCTTCCTTCCTTCCTTCCTTCCTTCCTTCCTTCCTTCCTTCCTTCCTTCCTTCCTTCTTTTCTCTCTCTCTCTCTCTCTCTCTCTCTCTCTTTTTCTTTCTTTCTCTTTAAGACACTCCCGGCCACCTGAGACTTCTGTATAGGAGGAGGCCTGACTGGGAGATCCCTGTGATCCCACCCACCTCACTGAGCGCATGGTCAGAGTGTCCGTGTTTCAGGTCACAAGATTTTCCAGGGTGCACTCCGGGGTGAAACGTTCTCATTTAGGGATTGGGGATGTCAGAGGAGGCTGTGACACATTACCCTGGTCCTTGCTCCTTCGGGCTTCCCGCAGGACACAAGAGGAGGAAGATCAGAGACAGGCGCCGGGCACTGGGCACTCCCTCCACCCAATCTGTCCCCTGTCCCCCATAGAGGCGCCTCTTACCTGGGAAGCGCCGCTGTACGGGTGTCCAAAGTGCGGGAAGGACATGGTGGCTGTCCCTGGCCCGCCTCTCTCTTCCCTTTCGAGTTCCCGTCTCAGCCCAACTGTTCGGCGCTCCCAGCAGCGCGGCGTCTCAGTTCCTTACACTGTGGCGGGTGCCCAGCGCCGGTTCCTCCGCCTGGTTGGCCCGAGTGGAGGCAGAGCCGAGGGCAGCCCGGCTGCCGAGCCCTGCGCTCCGGAAGGCGCCCCTCCGGCCCGTGGGGTCCGGAAGACAGAAGGGCCCATGGATGGGCAGGGAAAGGAAGAAGATGTTGGTTCCCAAAGGCGCGTGGTGGCGAGGTGAGGTGCGGCGCGGCGCGGGGCTGTGAGGCTCCGGAGGTGTCCCAGTCCAAGGTGGCCAGAGGCTCAATGTGACGTCACGGTAATCCTGAGCCGCCAGACGGGACCCCGGGCCCCGGGGCCCCGGGCCACCAAGCGTGCCAAGCGCAGCCAGCCCGTGCGCGCGCGCGCACTCTCACTCACACTCACACTTGCTCCGGGAGGTTTGTGCAGCTGGCGAGGAACGTCAAAGACCCTGACCCTCTCTGCTCGGCGCTGAATCCTACCCCTTTTCGCCAGGAGCTCAGGCGCGCGCGCGCACACACACAACCTCTCCAAATTACCCGGGAGAAGTAGGAGAAACGCCTCCCTCTGAGCCGCGCAGGCCCCTGGCGCAGCGCGCTCACCTCCCTCCCCTGCGGCCCGGAGGAGGCGAGAGGCAACCGGGGCGGCGAGGGAGGAGAGAATACAAAAGAAGAGACAGGAGAAAAGTGGGGGAGAAAGGCAAGAGGGAGAAGGAGGAGGGGAGAGGGGAGACATGAGTCTGAGTGAATAGAGGCGCGCGGGGGAGGGGGAGGGAGCTGGGGGGGGGGCGAAGGCTGGGCGGAGGCTGAGCGCTGGCAGGTGGAGGAGAGCAGAGGCCCGGGGGAGAAGCCTCCAGCCCGGCTCCTCTGCCCCTGCGCTGAAGGAAAGTTTGTTCACGCCACAGACCCGGCTCTCGTTGGAACAGCTCCGGGCAGCGTCGGTGGATCCCACTGGCCCGCCCATCTTTGTCCTCGGAGATCTAGTTCCCCGCCTCAGCCTCCCCAGGACTTGGGCTAGATTCCGACTCTCCAAGCCCTGGCGTTGCCCAGGCCTTGACCTTGGGACTTCTCTGCAGCTGCCTGGTCCTCGAGTAGGCCGGATAGCGCCCCCTCGAGGCCGAGGCTCAGGATCCCTCAGATTCGGTCGGGAAACTGGCCGGGTCCGATCCCTGGTATCCGCAGGCTGCTTGCTAAGATCCCTGGGCATCTCTTCCGAAGGCAAGGCTTGGCTGCCTCGCGCGCACCGCCCGCAGTGGCCGCGGGGCAGCCAGGGAGGCTGAAGAAGGCGCCCGGTCCGGGCTGCAGCCCCTGCGCTCCGCTGGGGGTGGCGCTGGAGAGCCGCAGTGGAGCGCTCCGGGAGGGTGGCCCATTCCCTGCGCTCCTCCTGGACGCCCGGCTGGGCCCAGCGGTCAGACCACCTCCTCACTCCATCCCAGGGGTCTTCAAAGGGACACTGATGGGTGGGCGGTGGCGGGGGCGGGGGGAGGCTCGTTGGTATCCAGGAGGTGGCTGCCTCCTCCAGGCCTAGTCCCCAGACAGGGCACCCCCAGTTTGCGAGCACTGTAGACTGCACATCTGAAGGCTCAATACTCAGGTCACAGCTGCCCTTCTGAGAGCCTCCAACCCGCGACGTCTAGGGGCGAAAAGGGACTGTCGCTCTGGTAGGGGAAGGTCTTCGGTGGGCACTGCAGGGATCCAGTGGGATTTGCAGGCCAGAAACCTCAGAAAGCCTTGCTTTTCACTTAACGGGGTCACCGCGCTTTATACTTTTAAAATGCTCTCCCAGGACCTTGCTGCAACTCCTCCGAGGAGCCATAGGGGTTGGTTCAAGGGCCCAGTTTTATTTTCTAGTTGAAACGCGAGAGCCTGTGGCCCAGAAGATAGCAACGGCTCTGGGTTCTTGCATGAGGTGGCGCAAGGTCTGGGGCCCTGGACGGGGCATGCCTCAACTCCCAGTTTGCCACTAGCACCTTACAGAGGGAACTGGTCACTGGGAGCCACTGATCTCTTCGGCATGACATCTCTAGCTCTCCACACCCTGTTTTAAAAACACATTCTGTAGAATGCTCAAGGAGCTTAAAGAAGCCACAAACCAGAGACTCCTCTGCTTAAGAGATTATTAACATGAGGACAAGCTCCATTCTAAATACTAACAAACACAGCTGCTGCTGCTGCTGATGATGCTGTTACCTTGGAGAAACCTTGCATTCATCCCGGGAAACTCCTAGTTAGAAAAAGAATTATAGTCCTCACCAGATTGACTTAGTGATAAAAATTCACAGTAATAGATAGATCCCTTGATTTTTCAAAATGCACTTTGGAACTATCCACACATTTGCAGCTTGGATACATCTAGGCTATTTTTTTAAAGTAAGAATTGGAGAGTATTCATTAAATTCATCCCTTGGGGAAGATTACTGCTAATTAATTAATTGCAAACATTTCCAGAGGGAAGGTATGTCAATTGTAAAGTAATAAAATTAGATAGTCGAAATACTGACTCAGCAACTTCGATTGCCCATTTGTTCCTAAGCAGAGTTTTTTTAAATTTTATGACAGAAAAATGGGGCTGGTGGTGGAGAAAAAGCATTAGTCCTGTCCCTTGGCGATATGGTTGCAAAGGAGAAACTACCATATAGGAATTATTGATTTTTAGCTGATTTATAAGACTTCTGTTTTATCAATGCTGTGTGCAGGGCCTCCAGGCCTACTTCTTGTCTTTGCTCTCTAGGATTTGAGAAAGGTAACACAATTTTTAAAAAGAAAAGAGGATGTTGAGGAACAGTGGGGAAGGAAATTGGGAGGTAGGACTATGAAGTTATCTGGGCATTTTTCTTCTTCTGGAAAGAAACAAAAACAAACAAAAGAGCAGGTTTTATGTTAAGACACCTTTTCTATTGTCTTCAAAGTTGCTTGATGGTTTTTTGTGGCTTCTATCAGAATGCTTCCCAGGAAGCAAGGCCTGCCATGTCTCCTCTGCCTTCCCAGCCTTGCAAGACCTTGATTTAGTATTTCCTTTCCAGAGAGAGGCTGCATCCATGATAAACCTCCCCTGTTTTGCTGGCATTTGATTGTTACCACCTTGAGCATTTAACGGGGTTTCCTAAAAATAGTTTTTATGAAATGTGCCTATTCTTCTTGTTATTTTGGGACCCTTTTAACAAAACAATGTCAGTGGGTTAAGCCAAAATCAACCTCTGTCTGGCAGAAACCTCAGGTGAGAAAATGTCTGTTTCTTGGAAAGTCGGATTGAGGGGAAGCTGCAGTGGAATTTGCTTTTGTCCTCCTGATGGTTCACAGATTCCCACTTCAGCAGCCCGAGCTTCTCCACCCCGGCAGCTTTTCATTGCTTTGTTCAGCGCTGATTAATTTACTTTCGGAGAAAAAGCCCCAATTGTATATGTGTACACATAGAATTTTATTGAAGCAAGTAAATAAATCCATCAAATATAGACCCTCCCAGTTATATTTAAGGGAGTCATTCCACCTAAAGTATTTTAAACAAATGATAGAGATTCTTTTGTTGTACTGTGCAACATGCCTGATAGTTCCTCTAGCTGCTCATTAAAACAAATATGAAACAAATTAAACAATCAAAAGCCTATCTGCACCAGAGAGTACTAATCCACATTGTTTATTTGAAGCTCTTATTGCTTTGCTTCAAATGCACTGAAGTTCCTGAGCAGGCAGAGTAAAGGATGTATGTTTCACAATAAGCTTGCATGCAGGTACCACAAAAGACAAACAAACAATAAAAGAGGGAAAACAAACTGTATTTCATTATTTTCGGTTAAAAATGTCTACGATTTTCTCATGATTTATAAAGACAGCAGATTTTACAGGGGGAAATATAACAATCTGGAAATACCCCAAATCAACTTCAAATGCCTCAAATCCCAGATGGAATGAGTGAGTACATGAACATAATAACAGAGTTGAAAATGTGCTAAATTATATTTTTTAAGTATGGATTTTTTAGTGACTGTTTTTGAACTGAGAAGAATAAAATTTCCTCAAATCTATGCATGAATGAACAAGTGCATCTGGACAGATGCATCTATAATTTATACTGATCAGTCACTGCAGGTCTCATGGAGTAAAACCGAAATGAACACTAATTGTTTTGACGGAAGTAGTGTGCATAGCATCTGATTGTGAAATGCAGTGAGTCCCTACCTTGCCTGAATACATATTGTCAACAGTAACTCTGGCATCAGGAGGAGAAAATAAAAAGAGAGTAATTCCCAGATGAGAGTGTTGATGTCTCTTGTCAAAAAGGCAGCAAATAGAAAGAATTAACTTCTTCGGGATAAAGTAAAAAATAAGACTGAATGCAGGGGTCTTGGTTTGACAGCGTTGTATTTCAGTTTAGAGTTAAAATTAGTAAAGTGTGTTAATAATAATAAAATTCTGTAGCATTTGTAGAGTGCTTGGGAGCTTTCCTAAACGCCTCTGCTGTATCTTATTTAAGGCTCATGATAAGGATATTGGAGAGGTGAGAAGCAAGTCTAAGATCACACAGCCAAGTAAGTGGCAGAGGAAGGATCAGACTTCAGACCTCCCGATTCTGGGTCTTTTCACAGAACCATATTTCAAACACCTAGAAAGCCAGGCACAGCCAGGAGATATTGCTAACTCCAGTTGGACTGTGTGAATTCACATATTGTGTGCCACGATGATGCAGTATAATTTAGCAGAAAAAACATCTTAAAGAGATGTCACTGTAAGAAAATTAAGTTCAGGGTCTGTGTGCCCTGTTTTACATGAATCTGTATTATGAAAGAGCTTATGTAGTAATTGAGAGTTTTATAAATTTGGTGTGAATCTTTAATTGAATGGTAAAGAGCGAACAGACCCAGCCATGACTGATATATACATCCAAAAACCAAAATAGCACCCATCCCTGGCTGAAAAAAAACCATCTTAAAAAAAAAAAAAATCCAAAAGATAGTGTCTCTATTTCTACAATGGTTTAAAAACAATTCCTTGAAATTAGTTATGGACTATTTTCAGGAAGAGGAATTTTTAAAAATCTGGTTTTGGCATCGGTAGGTGGGGAGATTTGCTGCATTAATTTCAAAGCAGTTTTTATGTATAAAAATTCTTGATTATTTTTATCCTGTGGATGATGGCATCTTTCTAATGAAAAGCTCAAAGCATCTGATGTGTTTTCAAGGAATTAAACTTTTAAGTAAACAACAGATGTATGGATTTGAAAACCAGGGAATAGTTTTTGAAGTCTAAGTCTTTGGAAAAGAAATGAGTGTGAGAAATTAAGACTTTAAAGGAATAACACACAGGGACTCACTGGGATAAGATGCTATGCCCTTTTCTCCCTATGTGATAGGACCTAGAAATGGTCCTTCAGTATACAATTAGGGAGTAGAATCATGGCCTAGACAATCAAGAAAGGGAGCCACAGTGTTGCTGGCTTTGGCTACAGGAGGGGCTCTGTGTTTTTGCAAACAGCCCTCTAACTGAAGCATTGCTAACATGCAGTTTATAAGGATATTTTGTCATTCTTCCCCCTAAAGGATTTCACCACCGTAGACGTGAAGCTTTCAATTAAAACATGAGCAGCTTCCAGCTTTATACATTTTCATCTTATTAGCAGCATTTCCCTAGAATTCTCTTCCTCATGCTTTCCTCCTACTTTTAAAGCTGAGCATTAGAACTGGCCGGGATCGTTCTTCTCTGTGCCACCTGGGGCCCACTACTTTAGGGAAGCTGGGACCATTTGTAATGTCACGTGCTAGCCATAGGTTATTTATAACAAATCTTCACAAATCAATAAAAATATGGAAAGTATATCATTTGTAAAGAAAAAGGAGAGAGAGAGAGAAACACATGAGACATGCCCATTAAGGGCACAGCCATTCTAATACCTGTATGTCTGCTTAGGTCTGCAATTAAAAACATTCTGATAATAAATCTCCTTGCAGTCTCTTTTAATGCTTTTAACTTTCCTGAAGGTTCAAATTGGTATCCCAAAAATGTGCCAGGACTTTCACAAGATATTTTATAGACTCATAAATAAATATGGCAATTAATCTATGCTATATTTCTTTCATATTTGATGACAATTTATTATGGCATTCACCCACTCGGTGCACAAAAACTCTAATGCACTTAAAATCGGATTTCAAACCAAACATTTTATGGGAAAATATAGTATTGATCATCCATTTAAAGACATCATGAGGATAATTCATAACCTGTTGTAAAAAAAAGATCTCATGAGGACCCTACAGATGAGTG